TCAGCGTATGTTAGTCGGCCCGTTGGAAGACGGCCATGAGATTCGAACAGGTGCCGTCCACGAACAGGTGGTCAATAACTCAGTGTTTGGAAATGCTTCGCCGTTTCGGTTGGATCAGATTTTGAATCACTTGAGCCAGCTAGCACGGGCTCAAGAACAATCTGTTAAGTCTTCTGAATCATTGGTTGACTAATGTTAAGTATATATATAGTTATAGGGGCTCGTTAAATGGATTCTCATCCATGCAGATCATAGCTGGGACCGGGAGGTTGCGGTTTGATGCGAGGTCGCACCACGCACCACGCGGGCGAGCTGCACAAAGATAGGCCGTCTTGCCAAAATACTCCATGCCACCATCGCGGTAAACCTTGACCGTGTCGTTGGCGCCCTTTGGGTGATCACGCTGATCAAGGGTGACAAAACGACAGGTCTCCTCACCTTAGGCAAAAAGGCCGAACAAGGAACTGCGAGGGGAAAATGGGGAAACACATAGGAAAACACCACGGATTGTAAGCAAAATATGTTGGCCATCGCTACTAGGCTGGAGGCCGCTATTCGAAACATGTTGGCCATCGCTGGACCTCGGACCGATCTCTAGCGCTCCACTCCGAGTCACATACATACGTGCCATCCAAATGCGCAACAGGCCTCAGGGAGGGCGCATTTGAAGTGCGTGGCCTATGAAACTGAACTTTGGGAAGCAACAGTGTATGCGTAGTCAAAAGTCAAACACACATCCCTTGGTCTGGCGACTGTGAGCTGCTATCATCCATGAAAAGGGGTTGCAACTGGGTGCAGTCTTAAAATGCCCGCTCAGCAGTCCCTTCCATCCAACTTGCAGCCCCTTGGATCTGACACCGGGTTTTCATCAAAAGCAAACCTCTCCCCATCAGGAGCAGTGTGAACAAACAAACTTCTCACCATTAAACATTAATGCTTGGGACCCATCAAACAGTCCTGTAACCACGAGATGCAGCGATGTAATCGTTCATCTCCGCCGGGGTGATGGGCTCCTCATCCCAATCCTCAGACGTCGTTTTCGTCAACCCGTGACGCCTTTGCATGCCGATGGACATTTGGGCGAAGGCGTCATTTTTCAAGTGAAGTACCGCCAGGGCCATGGTTGAGTTTTTGCGACTTGCGCAAACTGAAGGTTGTACCCCAAATTGCACCCAAGTTCCACCTGGAATATTATGGGTTTCTAGAAGGCACATGCCACTGGATTGTTGTTAAAAGAATCTTCATTGTTTTGCAAGATCATTCAGTGTTGGCCCATAACATCACCTTACTGAAACATAGTAATTTACTCACTTGGTCACTGATCAGTCCACCAAAACCAAAGCAGCAATAGGGAAGTGAGGCTTTATTTATTGGTTTGGAGGCACCATTGCTATTAGAAAGAATGCAAATGGAAATCTGTTCCATCTTTAACTCCCATCATTTTCTCATATTTTCTCTACCCAAGCTTCGTAGGCTCCGTAGCTTTCCTTTGGCTTCATGAAGGCTCCCTTCGTCACTTCGCACTGATACAACTTGAGATTCTGGACGCCAGAGCCACGGTAGCTCTGATAGGGCACATCCCTTTTCCCGTTGCACTTCACATTGCAGCAGGGGCGAGGGCCAAAGAAGTTGTCGCAGTTGTGAGTGGCACTGTTGGCCTAACGGACAGGAGCTCTGCGCTAACGGCGTGAATGCATCAAAGCAAACGACCCAGTTGGGCAACATTCCGAACTTCCACGTTTCCATCCTGCGCTTGGTTCACCATCCTGCGCCAACACATCCGACTCAAAAAGGCTTTTTCCCACAACACTTTGAGGCATTCTTATTCTTACAGTGTTGCTCCGCGTCGACTTTGCCTTCTTCGCCGCCTCGGGTCCAACTCAACTCACACAACTAAAGCCGTAAAACTCAACTCGCACAACTGAACTCAAACAGCTCAAGTTGCACTCGCACGACCGAGCTGAAACAACTGAACTAAAACAAGTCAATTCACAGGTCCGGTAACTGCTCGGACTGCTGCTTTGTAGGAGGCCTGCGGTGATTTTGACTCTTTTCATCAACAATCTTGATGTGGACCTTGTTGCATTATATAATCACCATATATCACGATCTTCAGCATGATTTTCTTACATCCAGATCACACCCACACGGTTGGGAAAGGAGTTCGTACGAATGCCACCATGCCAGCGATCAACAGTGAGGCCATTGCTGCTAGGTTGGCATAGCAATGGCCTCCAGTTGAGCAGATATGTTTGCACAGGTCCCAAAGCAGGTCTTCGTTGAGCACCGCTGCTCTGGGACCCCAGGTGCCTTCAGGTCAGGGACCTCTCTCTTTCTGAGTTTTCAGCTCTGCTGAAATTGAAGCTGACCACACATCTACAAAGTCAAAAGGCTACTAGGAGCAACGACGCTACTAGGGGCTCCGGGCATCGCTACTAGGAACAAGAAGCTACTAGTAACAAAGGGCATCGCTACTAGCAGCAAAGACGTAGCTCCTGGTCTTTGAAGCTACTACAAAGCCAAAAGGCTCCCTATGACTCCCAGGGTGACAAACACACACACATATATATATATATACACGTGCATCATCACCCATGACATCATTCGTCACCGCATCTGCGACATGTTTGTTTCAGAGACCGAGTTTCACATCCATATCCATCTTTCTTTCTCTTGTTGCCGAGAAAAATGAGTGGAGTGGATGTGGATGTGGACGGCAAATTATGTCTTTCTCTTTCACATCATCCACTCCATCCACATCCAATCCACTCATCCGCTGTCCACTCCTCGGACCCCCCCGTCTGCTGTCCGCTTCTTCTCCCTGCTTTGCTGCAAACACACAAAGTTGTGCTCATCCGCTTTTTCCTCCGCGTTTTTTTAATTCCGCTTGTTTTTCCCTTTGACGTGGAGGTTGGGTGTTTTTCATTGTTTCAGCGATGTCCTTTCAGCAATATCAGCCTAAGAAAAATACCCCAAAGTCGCTGAACACTGGCCAAGCAAACATGGGGAATTGCCATTGGTTTGATGTGTTTCAGGATGATTCCAGCCCACATTGGGCATTAGGATGAGACGAACAAGAAGAAGAGGCAACAACGACACAATTTTTTAACATACACATAACATAACATAACAATATAAAGAACCTATACTAGTAACAAAGGGCATCGCTACTAGGAGCAAGGACGCTACTTGTAGCTCCTGGCCTTACTACTAGTAACAAGAAGCTACTAGTAACAAGGGGTGAATTACTAGTATTATAATAGACATCCAACTATATTAAAAAACAAATCATTCACTCACCATCATTTGAACACACCAAACGCAGTTGAAGGCACCAAATGCCACGGCTTTACGCCTGTTTTTGCCAGTGCTAGACATCCGGGTTCAATCCATACCTGGATCCTCGATGAGGTTCACGGTTTGGACAATTCATGAGTTGCCAGGAACACTCGCATCGACCATGCACTATTTGGCCATGCGCCTCTCGAATCTTTAAAGCATCGTCACGGTTTCTGTTGTTCCAATGCAGGTTCTTCCGTCCCTTCTCCCCACCAACTTCTCCAAAGCTTGCCCCGTGTTTCCGTCAGTTTTGCTTATAAACCAGATTTGCTAGAGTATGAAACACATTGAACAACCTTACAGACGTAGCCCAATTTGCTTTGTCCACTCGTAAATGGTCCAATTTGGTTGAAAAGACTTACATAAGAAACTATAGAGTTCCCTTCTCACAATCCCCTTCTCCCTGCTTCTTTTCAACCTTGGTCTTAAGAAGCAATCCTGTAAACCAATTTTGCTCGCCTTTCCACATACCAATCCTGTCCTAAAAAACGTGCTGGTAACCAATTCTATCTTGAGAAGCCTTCCCGTAGACAGGCTAATTTGTTTTGAGAAGCTTTGCTGTGGACCAATTCATGACCAATTCTGTTTCAAGAAGCCTGTAGACCAATTCTGAAAGTCCTCTGGCAGGTCACTTAGGTCCCCGAGCTCTCTCCTTTGACCGAACACCTCAAGCTCCCCTTACCTTTCTCTAAGCCCCAAAAGGCTGGTGTCCTTTTCCAAGTGTCACGCTGGCGCGGGGCACAGCCCTCAACACACTGTTCGGCTGCCACTCCCCCACCAACACCGCCTGGCGCATGCTCCACACGTCTTGCGCCAGCGAAACGATGAAGGCGATGGACCCGAGTCCCATCGTTTGGAATTCACAGGGCGACGCGCAAGTTCCGTGTTGCGGCTGTTGTGTTAGAGCCGATACCGCGGCATGTCAAGTGTTTGTGGTCGAGGCAAAACAAGCACATGTGCGGCATGTGCGGGTCTCGAATTGCAGGGTTGGTTCCCAAAGAAAGCTTTTCACGGTTTCAGAACCTTCTCAGTGTGTATCATGTCTTCTTTGCAACTTTGCAGTTGAACATTTAACCACATGGCCGAGTTTGATTTGTGTGGCATGTTCGCGGGGGAGTGCAAGATTCTGCGACGGAGATGCATCGGTGTGGTGACCTTATCGTCTTTATCGCCATCTGAAGGGCTGCGCACCACTGCCATTCGTCCTACCATGTCCTACATGTCCTACCAAGGAATTCTGCACCCAGGTAGATGCACAGGACTGGCTGTGCTGTGAAGGCTTCATCTTGTCATGTCACAAAACGCAGTTTAGGTCACAAAAACAGTCCCGAGGCTCAGAACAGAGTAGACTGATTTCTGGATCGAACATCAGAACTTCGTCCGCTGCCAGGACAACCAGGTTCCAAGTTCAGTAAGAATCGAGACAGGATAACGTGGGCTGTGCTGAGAACAGACTTTGTCGCGCTTATTTCTGGATATTTCTGGATATATTTGCACATGAAAGGAAGCGTGCATCTCTTACAGCGTATGTACCCCATGATTTCTGTCTGACCACGTATTTCCATTTCCAAATGACCAGGTGTGACCACTCCAAGACCTCCACCACCATGCACCACCCAAGGTCCAACCCCCAAACGAGGCTCTCTCCACGGCCCAGCGACCATCGGTGTCGATGTCGCCGGTGGGCGCGCCGCCGCCGAAGGAGATGTAGAGGCTGGAGACCTCGTCTTCGGCGCAGCGACACGGTGGGAGGCACCGTGAGGTGTGGTTTTTGTTGGTGCAAAGAAGCGTTGTTTGGTCGTTGGGGGCTGGCAAGGCACTGCAGCTGCATCTGTCTTCCAACATCTGAGTGGTCGTTGGGGCTCGTTGGGGCACTTGGAGGGGTGGTCTAGGGGCGATCAGTGGGGCGATCATGCACTTGGCTTCGGATCCCCCAACCCCCGAAACACGCTGATCGACCGCGCTACTAGTAACTTACGTGCATCGCTTCTAGTAACAAGTGCCTTACTACGAGTAACCAGAAGCTATAGTAGAAACAAGAATTAGATTTCAGAATTACATTCATCTACCATGCTGATCTCCCTTCGCCTTGATCGAAATCGCTTCCAATCTGTGCTGAGATAAACCGACACCCAAAATCACTCGGCAGTGATGCTTTGTTCTCACCAGCTGCGTGTTCCTTCATCTTCGGTCCCCCTTGGTCTGACTGTGGTGATGTCTTTCGATGAATCGACGGTCGCTCCAGCCTACTCGCCCAGCCTTTGATCAAAGCGTCTGCGCCCGGTGGGTGGAAATTCGCGGAGGGAACCAGCTGAGACACGCGTGTTGTCCATTCTGCTTCATGCCAGAGACGTCCGTTTGGATGTTTCACTCAGAGCGTTGTTGTTTGTTGAGCCTCTTTTCAATTCAAAGAGTGCAGGGGAAAGCACTGATTCGAGTGCTCGAAGCATGGACTTTTTCCACAAAACTAAGAGCAGCACCAACCACGCCCAGAAGATGACTCCGGCTGCACCTGCCGTGACCGCGCTCAGACCGCGCTCGATCTGCCACTTGGTTTGAAGAGGTGCAAAGTCAGTTATCCATGAAGAGAGGTTATGAGGATTTATGCTTGGTGGGCCATCTGTTTTGTCTTTTCTTCTTTTTTCCGAAAAAAACACAAGTTAAACAAAACAACAAAACAAACCGTCCAAAGTCTCACCAAGGTGCAAAAAAAAAACAGAGAAACAGTGAGAAGCCACACCCGCAAGCGTGGGACTGGGATGGACATGATGGACTGGGTGGAAGAACGACGAGGAAGACTCGATGCTCCTCACCCGTCGACTCGTCGACCACACATGAGGATCCCTGGCGCATCTGTCCCGGTGGCGAGAACCGAAGACCCATAGCGAACCTTGTTACTACTAGTAAGGCACCTGTTACTACTAGCGTGGCACTTGTTACTACTAGCGTGGCACTTGTTTCTAGTAGCTTCTTGTTACTACTAGTAAGGCACCTGTTACTACTAGCGTGGCACTTGTTACTACTAGCGAACCTTAACCAAATGGTTTTCCGAAGCAAAGCTCCGTTCGAGTCGCGTCCGATCGCTCCGTTCGTCGTACGGCCAGGAACCCCGTTCGTAGCGTCCTGAATTTCTCAGTAGAAAGGTGCGTCTGCGCATGGATGGTTTAGGGTCCCCCAGGTCCTGTCGCATGGTCCAAGTTGCATCACCCGACACTCGAAGGGACCGCCAGGTGGCGAACCAAACGGTCTCGGACGCCACGACCGGACCGGTGGAGTTCCACCGAGTTCCAGGACGGACGTACCGGAGTGCGGAGTGCGGAGTGTGGTGAAGGAACGGACTGCTGGAGTGCGGACTGGAGGACGGTCATTGCAGGACGGTGTTTCCCAACACTGCCCAAATCGCGACGGGTCTTGGTGCCTAGGAAGAAGACCCACCTGAGCGAGTGTCAGTGGGGAAGGTACTGCTCAGAGCCGTAAGACGTCTACAACCGAACGTCGAAGTGGAACATGTCACATGCTCAATTGCACAAACAAGGGAAACATCTCAATTGCACAATTCAGTCCATCGCAAGAACTTCACCTTCCATGAGCCGTCCATGTTCCTCACCTGAAAAAAGAGGGGCTTGCCCTCGCCGACGTCGCCGAGCCCGAGCCCTCGATGTGTTGGCTTCGGCCCCGGGCTCGGCGTGGGCCACGAACAAGGCCGCCACACACAAGTCCAGGCCTCTTCGGTCTGGTCGAGACGGAGAGAGACGCTGGGAGAGGAGAGGTTTTTTTGGTATAGGGGGGGGATGGGACGGTGTGATGAGGTGTAGATCGACCTAGAGTTCCAAGGGTCAATGGTTCCGTTGTAACAACCGACTTCACAGGTTACCACTTCTGCCAGCTTTTGAGAAGATCTGTTGGAGGGTGCTGGTAGCTGCTTAAATCTCCTCTTTCAGGCTGTAGAAACTGGCTTGAACGGCTTTGGCGAAAGTCCTCTTCCAAACCCTGGCAGTTTCCATGTTTTGCACCCTCCTTTCTTGCGAAGTGAACATTCGTCAAATCAACCACAGAAACAGGGGAGTCTGGCAGTTCCTGTCGGGTGGCTGGCAGTTGGCGCTCGATGGTCGGACCGAGTTCAGGGTGCGATGAAGGCGACTGGCCTCCGATGAAGGTCTCTTCCCATGCTTCTCGTTGCCGAATTCTCCCAAAACCCCAAGGGGAATATAGACCAAGACCAGCGAAGCGATGCCTTTTTTCTCAACTCCATGGGTCAAGACCAGCTGGCTCTAGGTATTCCAATGCATCTTGCAGGACAGTTGCAGATCCGAACACTTACATCCCCCATGCCCCAAAGACGCCCCCCATGCTTGCATCTTCCATCTTCCATCTTCTCCCTGCCTAACGGTCCACAAAAACCTGCAGTTACATCTTCCAGAGACTCCATCCATCCACATCACCCTCCGGTCCCCGAACCCACGTCCATGACGTGCACCACCAGAGCCACGATGACGAGGTTCCTGGCACCGAGGTCAGTGAAACAACTGAGGAATGTCGTGGACCATCTTTTGTAGCTGAATCTCACCTACGAACGGAGCATTTCGAGCGATCGGACGCTACGAACGGGGCTCCTGGCCTTACTACTATAGGAACAAGGACGCTACTAGGGCTACTAGGTAGCTGAATCCGACTCTAATCCCTTCAATTCATCAAATCCGGATCCATCCGGGGAGCAGATCATCCGGGTACATCTGGTCCATGGGACCCAACCCTGGTACCAACACTCGTGTCGGCCCACACTGACTATCGACGGCACGAAGACGAGTGGGGTCTTCTCCGCTCGGCTGAAGTCGTGACCGGAGCGAATGTCTTTTTCGGGCGATCGTCCCGGACGCTGGTTCGATCCGGGTGGCATCCCAAGAAGCCGAAGCACAGGAGATTCTCGGTGATTTAATCTATTCTTAGTTTTCGTTGGTTTGCCCGGTTACTGATGGAGTTGGAATTGACATGTTATGCATGTGTTTTAGGATTTGACTATATGTATATAGTATCCAAATTGTGGCATCTAGCATGTCTTTCAGGCATTGCGCCTCCTTCTAGACCTGTCTTTTCTGACCCACGCCTTTCCCAATGTGGCATGGGCACGGGTGCCCCGGTGTCCATGAGGCATGGCTGGAATCCGTCACGTGTCGCCTGAGTCTTCACGAGTGGTCGCGTGGTCGGCGCGTCCACGTCTCCGCAGGATGGCTGTGAAGCGAGGATGTCCGATAGCGAGGTTGGAGGCCATCGCTCTTTCAGACAAACACGTGGATCGAAGGTCGAAATGATCCTTAAAATGGCTGTCAAGTCTTTCAATTCGGAGGGATGCTAAAACTATATGCTTCAAATTGATGGTCAACTGTGATATCTACAGGCCTAGATGTTCCCAACAACAGATCTTCCCAATCTCTTCTAGCCATCCTTCTCTTGCCATCTTTCTCTATCCCTCATAGATCAAAAAGCTAATTAATAAAACCACCAGTTCCAGGTGGGTTGCCGAACCTGGAGCGGCCGCGCTGAGCGGCCCGGGCCATCCATGGAACGAGGGACGCACCTGAACGAGGCTCCGCGCGGGGATTTGACTCTATCTAACTAATTCTCACTCTGCGACACTTGGGGCCAAGATTTGGATAAACCTAACATAAAGTATATTAGCTATTATATAAATTATATACAATAATAGCATCTAATTATAGTTTAATAAACCAGTAGCAATGGCCTCCAACCTAGAAGCGATGGCCTCCACCCTAATAGCGATGGGCTCCAATATGATTTGGGTAATTTGGCTTCAAAGCTCATTGTAGCATCGAACCGTGACTCAGAGTGCAACGAGTCAAACGCTTGTATTGCAAGACTCACATTCGACAAGAAACCTGTGATGCAAATCGGGCATCTATGAGGAAAACATGTCGGGGGGAGGCCATCGCTATTAGGTTGGAGGCCATTGCTATTAGGTTTATTAATCTATATATTCTATATTTATAGTAAATCAATCTTTATGTATTAAAGGGCATCGCTACTAGGAGCAAGGACGCCACTAGGAGCAAAGGGCATCGCTACTAGGAGCAAGAAGCTCGTAGTTAGGTTTATCCAAATCTTCATATTACTTCCCGGCCTGATGGGTCTTCGTTGCGAAAGCGCAGGGACAACTATCGCGGGTCGGAGCGGCTTGCGTCGCTGTTCCTACTCGGACCGCTGTGGACCGACTGATTGGGGTTGCGGTGCACCTCCGAATCTGCACGTTGGCGCACGGGTTTTAGAAACACGGGAAGAATCACTGAGACTCTCTCCTTTTGGGTTTGAATTTCCTGTCGGGTTTTTTGTGGGAACCTGTTGCCGGCCATGAAAAGGGTCCGGAAGGTGGTTCTTAGATATGTCAAAAACATATTGGATTCCAATTGATCTCAGCCGTGTGCTGCACGTGTTTTCGTGATTTTGGAGATGCTGTTTGTGCTTTGATGGTCCCTTTGGAGCCTTCATTTTCGCTGCAACATGCACATATTGGTCTGTGTGATCTTGCCGTTTCGCCCGGCTAGCTCAACGAGATCCGACCTGCACCGAGTTGAACGGGGCCGTTGACCGGTCGAACTGTTGAAGCGAAGAACGAAGAAACAGCCAGACGAAGCCACCCAGGGCTCTGACGATTTGGTTCAAAGGTGGTGCTGAGCTGGAACCTTCACTGTGCTTATCCTGAACAAATTTTGGACCTACTCTTGAGATGGATAGACATTCACTGGAAAAAAAACAAGGAGGACGCCTCTGATTTGAGGACGCAAGATAGTGCAGGGCAGGACTACTTGCAAGACTGTGTTTATCAACAGCAAGTAAGTTGCAAGCATTTGCAAGATCATTTTGCCCAGCAATTCCCGACACAATTTTCACAAATCCCAGCGATCTGGAACCGGACCGGGATCGAACCAGCTCGCCTTCGAAAGGAGCTGGCTCTCCGACCAAACCGGAGAATGCCGAAGAAGCGAAAAGGCACCTGGAAAAGAACTCCTTCCTTTCTTTTTACTAGGAACAAGTGCCACGCTTCTAGTAACAAGTGCCTTACTAGTAGTAACAAGAAGCTATTAGAACTCTTTCCTTTTTTTGGGCAATCAAAAGAAACTAGTAGCAAGGACGCTACGAACGGGGGCTCCTGGCCTTACTACGAGGAACAAGAGGACGCTACTAGGGTCTGGAGCCGCTGTTGGGGTTGCACCAGTCTTGGGTTTCGATCTCTCCAGTTCCAGAATGCGAGCACCCTGCGCTTCGCAATGGGTCCCTTTTGCTTCAGCAAATGTGTGACAAGCCTTAGGCCTTTCCTGCGCGTGCAAACGATTTAACATGGGCCGCCAAGCTGTCAACTCGGATGGAACAAGCTGCCCAACATGTTCTCCTCATAGGATCTGTTGATGTTGTTCACCTTCGTTCTGCAAACTTTATTTGCAACCAAATTTAGAAGTTTCGTCCAAATGACGAGGGTGGTTGGAAGTTTGCAAGAAAGAAAGTAAGAACACAAAGAACAAACAAAAGGTTGAAAGGCCTCAAGAGACCTAACCAACATCGAAATCATAATATATATATATATATAGACAAAGAAAGGGAGAACATGCAAATGCAAGCTAATATAAGAATACTTGGGACACAGTCTGACAGTGAGGTGAAGTTGACATTTTGCCACGAGTTTCCTGGCGGATGACCCATCTTCCGGTATGGCTCGAAAGACTCGCGAATCTTTCATCGACGCAGTCTCCGGCTGTGGTTTCTGACCACACCCAAATGACTCAGCAAATGACTCGGTGTGGAAAGGTAATTGCAAGTAAGGGTGTCTTTGATATAAGGTCTCCTTCAAAGGGCCTCATATCATATCTGGTTGGTCATGGCTTTTGATGGCATCACGGCCGCATCGTTGCAGCATCACGGCTTAGATTCCACACCGCTTCAGCACCCAATTGATGCACCGAAACTTCAGAATCGATGCCCATCTCGGTGAACGGACCCTCCCCTGAAGGACTCGATACTATCCTGTTCAACTGGGGTGGTGGACTGCTCGACAACAAAAGTTCGGGCGTCAACGATCGAGTTGCGGCAGCTCTTTCTTTCTCTTTCTTTACAGGTGTGTAAGTCCTTGGATGTCCTTGGTATCCTTATAACCAAGTGAAAACAAAAAGATTCACAGACATCGGCTTGCCACCGAAACCGGTGGGCGATGTGTGGAACACAGCCATCGACATATCTGATCGACATATCCAACTCTACGCGGTCTCCAGAGACCGGAGACAGCCGGAGATCGTCCGTCTTCCTTCCTCGGGGATCTGACTTACTCGGACCGGGACGGACTTGGACCGTGGGAATCGGAAGAAGGCACCGCTGCCTTTGGATTTCTCTTTGTCTTCGCCACGACATGTTCATGTTCATCTATTTGAGGGGGCCTTGCAAGACACCTGACTCAACGAAGAGAGCTGACTCAGCACGTGGTACGATCCCAGACGAGTAGACCGTAGACCTGCAATGCCACGTGGTCGACTCTTCAGCAAAGGGTTCGTTTGCCGACTAAGATTCAGTCCTCAGGCGGTTGATGGAAGCGCCCGTTTAGGCCGTTTTGTGCCACGCTGTGAATCAAGTGATTACAAAGTAGGTTGGATATGCAGTACGTCAAAAGAAAAGCACTCAGAAAACATCCCCGGTCACCACCACCAGATTCAAACATGATTTTTCGTTGACGAAACATCCACTTCTCAGCCCATCGAGCATCTAGATGTTGGGAGACAAGATCCACGGTCTGCATCTTCCATCAACCGTGATCGGTTCTGTCAAAGCCAGAAAGCGAGAACTCCGAGCTCACCAAATCCGTCAGAATTCGTAGAGGTCCTGGCGAAGTGCGAGGCTGTAACACACCGGGGATCTGTGCCCTTGGCTGGGAAGAGTTTCCAGATTGTGCGTCTGCCTCAACCGTGCATCGAAGAGGACATGAATAAGAAGAATGACCTTATTACGTGATCGAGTCACATAATAATCAGGTAATATCAGGTATCATGTTCCAAGAGCCTTGGTTTTGGAGATTTGAGCTAAAACGTTATGCCTTCAATGAGCTGACTTCGCCCTTCGGATGGCCACTGGGTCCGAAACGACTGGATCGGACTTCCAATGCTTAAAACACGATGGTACAGTGTAGAGATGCGTAAAGGCAGGGTCTTCAATGAGGCTATATCAAAGAAGCATTGTACTATGCTAAAAGGACCTTGTACTTTCTTTTGATCTCGCATGTTTTAAATAACATATTCGGTTCTATAATTTCTAACATATTATATGGGGGTCATTCTATGCTGAGTTACACCCTGGAGGAACCCCGCTGTCGTTGAAAGAAGCACGAACACCATGGAGCAATTTCCTGCAGATGGGTCCGACTGCAAAGATCTGCTTCCTACGGTGACGGATCAAAGTTCCTACCTTTGTTCCAGGGTTTTTAAGACACTACTTGCTCCTAGTAGCGATGCCAGGAGCCCCTAGTCGCCTATCAAGGAGCTTTAGATCCCATCATATCCCATCTATGGCTTTTTTTAGCGCTTTAGTGGAGTGCCAGCTTGGTCTGTCATCAGGGCTGACAACCGACCACCGACTCGATGCTCAAAACCGAGTGCTCGGTCGAAACAAAGTGGTCAAACATGACGACCTGAACACGACGACCCAAAGCGGAACACCATGAGTCGGTGAAAACCTCGTCCTGAAGGATTCCGGAAACAAGCCGAGTGCTCAAGAGGTGTTGGGTCTACAGTTGCAGGGTGTGACGCCCTAAACCGGTTGGATGAAAGAAGACTCCGTGAGACTGTTTTTTGTCTCTTTCTATGTTACTTTGGAGGAACAAAAACAGAATCTGCCTCATCCTCCTTTGACACCTTTGGCTCAGTCTGCGTGCCACCGGCAAGTTGGCAACAGTCTTGTAGGCCCATGAAATTCAAGGTGGGAGAAGCCCACTGCAAAACTGGGAAAAACATACTATAGGAACAAGAGGACGCTACGAACGTGACAAAGGGCATCGCTACGATCGGAGCGATCGGACGCTACGAACGGGGCGCTCCTGGCCTTACTACTAGGAACAAGAAACTACACATATACACACATCACTCTCTTCCCAAACTCACTCTTGCTTCTCTTCCTCAAAAAAAAACAAGCACACCTCTGCCTCTGAGAAACGATTAGCTTTGTTCGAGCGGCTCGATGACTGGGGAAATCGGAGGATGGAATGCTCATACACTCCCAAAAACGAACATAGACCCTGCCAATGGCCCAATGAAAGATTGTATTCCTCTACAAACCAATGGCTTTCAGGGTCAATGATGCTTTTCAGTGAGTTTTCAGGTTTCTTCGATGATTCGATGACCCATCTCCAGGCCGATTCCAGTGTGACAGCAGGCCTCTTCTGGCGTGGGGGCCGCAGGCGCCTTCGCGGCTTTCGCGGCCTGGGAGTTGGTCCTACGGCCTCCACTCTCGGGGGTTCGCGGGCACCATTTCATTTCGTGGACACACAATCTCTGGTTCCACAATCGGTTTAGAAATGTCCCTTGAAAGCGGATGAACACCACCTTCAAGTAGGTGTGACTGTAATACCCAACCCATCATGGCACTCGATCCTTGTCATCCAAGTATGGCCCACATGCTCCGCAGTGGAGACACCCGACGCGGAGACGAGCCACTAGAATCTGGAGCAGGCGCCCTGTCCCTTGACATTCGGATCTGCAGAATTTTGAATCTGAAGAAACTGCAGCATTTAGGACATGAAATAGAAACTGCAAAGGAACATAAAGTAACAAGAAACTACTAGGAGCGTTCGGACGCTACGAACGGGGCTCCTGGCATCGCTACTAGGAACAAGGACGCCTTCTTTTGGAGATCTTTCCATTGTCTCTCCCCGATCTTTCTCTTTGCGCTGGATGTGTTGGAACTCGTCAACGGCACGGAGCAGCTCTGGTGGGCCGAAACCCATTGGGACTCCGAGGCAAACACCTGAGAAAGGTCCTAATAGCTCCTAGTAGCTTCTTGTTCCTAGTAGTAAGAATGCCACTAGTAGTAAGGCCTGGAGCCCCGAATAGCGTCCTTGTTACTAGTACAAATTATAACACATTGCCACGAGACATGGAAGACTGACATTGAATCAATTGGCTATTGGTATCTTTTTCAGGTGATCGCTAAAGATGCCAGTCCCGTGTTGTCGGGAATGCTACACTTGCTCCGACTTGACTGCGAGGTCCGTCTTTTTTCCAGTGCAGGACAAATCAAACGTGCGAGATTCTTCAGCCTAAAAGGTCTTTTCAATTCCCTTTTTTGTTGGCTTTACAAGCCAAATTGGCATGTTTTGCCGTGTTTGGAAGAACAACACCCTCATGATCCCTGGCAATTCCCTGTCAAGGCGAAGTGGTGGAGAGACCTTGGGGTATTGCTGGAACGAAATTAAACTGCCAATCCAATATGGGACAATCCAACCGTCGATGTTTCCCTTTTGGCGGGCCAGTTCAGCCACTGAGCTGGCGAACTGCGATGTCCTGGGAACTGCCCCCTAACTCCTCAGCGGGGCCTCTTCTTCGGCTTCCTTGGCGTCCACCAACTTACTCACCTGCCACAAGGTAGTTTGGGTCTCCTCCCCGTGGAAACCGGCGGATCACGCGGGATCCGGATGCTGAGGATGCTCCTTTCATCCAGAAATACCGAGGGCTGGTCTATCCCACCTACTTGGAACATGGAGAGATTACGGTGAACTTCCGATGTTTGAAAACCCCGTTTTGCTCCGGTGGATGGTGGTATCGTACAAGCTCCAAGCTCCAATCTTCGAAGCGCCGGGTCACCATGAATTCGTCATGCAAGACCTGGTAGAGAAACGCTCGAGATGCGAAAAGAGGAAGGCCACCGCGGCCACGTGAGTGGCCACGTGAGTGGCCACGTATGCATGCCCATGCTGTGTTTTCCAAACGGCAAGGGCACGGCATCGCTACTAGTAACAAAGTAGCAAGGACCCTACTAATTAGTAGCTCATGGCCTTACTAGTAACAAGAGGACTCTAGTAGCAAGGGCACTCACCCAATCAATGCTGACCGGACTGGATCGCTCGGCCTCGCCCGTCTTGATGCCAGCCTGCTCAGGCGCGTGCGTTGATCATGGCCATGTCTATCCAAACTCCATCGGATTCCTTTCATGTGTGAACCTAGTTTCACATTGTTGCACATTTCGCTGAGCGGTCAAACATCCATCACCAAGACCAAACGGCTGAGCCACGATTCAGTGGCATGCACGGCATGCTTCTTCTTCCTTGCCAAAGATCGCCACCAGTGCACCGCACTGCACTTAAAGAGCAGGCAGAACGGATAGACTCGGATAGACCAAAGAATCAAAGGAAACCAATGAATGGATACCTATGGTACAATTGGTCTCAAAGAGATGTCAAACTTGTTCGCGGTCGACAAAACTACAAGTACGCTCGAATCTCGAACACCCTCTCTAGTAACTCTAGTATGGAAGTGGAAAAGTCCTCTGTTGGTGAAACATCCTCTTCCCCCAAATCTACAGCCATCCACTTCCCAGTCCAGAACACACGCTACTAGTAACAAGTGCCACGGTGCCACGCTAGTAGTAACAGGTGCCTTACTAGTAGTAACAAAGTTTGCTAGTAGTAACAAGTGCCACGCCACTAGGAGCAAGGACGCGAACGCACGACACGAACGGACCGGACGAAGCGGTCGTCGCTTCGCCTTCAAGAGCCGGGCGCCCTTCTGTCGTGCCGCCGAAGACCGGGCCTGGCGTGGCCCCGTTCGTAGCGTCCTTTGTTCCTAGTAGCGTTCTTGCTCCTAGTAGCGATGCCAGGAGCTACTAGTAGCTTCTTGTTACTAGTAGCGATGCCCTTTGTTACTAGTACCTTCTTGTTCCTAGTAGGAAGGCCAGGGAGCCCCAAACGTAACGTTCTTGCTGGAGACCAAGGTGACTTCCTTGGTCTCCGTTCAGCTCAACTTGGAGTCCACAGTTTGGGTGAGTCGATCCCACGTTCATCCCCCTTGGAGACCTTCAGAGACTGTTTGTTTTTGTGAGGCTTTCCGACTTCCCCCCCCGAGACTTCATGCAACCGCTGAGTTACGGGCGCTTTTGGCAGATGTGAGGAACGGAAGTGGATGGCTTCACCACCGGAGAGTGGATGGCGTCATTCCCCGACTGACCACTCCGTCGGTAGCGGACGCAAAAACCAAAAAGGCCAAGGGCATCCGCTACGATCGGAGCGATCGGATGCTACGAGAAGGACTCATCATCCAGGAATCATCGTGCACGGCACTGTGGATAGCACTGTGGATGGCACTGGATCATGTTCTAAAAACGTTCTCGTGACTCAGAGCAGTTCCACCATGCTTCATACCGTGCGGAGCTGAGCTCTTGGACTTCCGTTAGCAATGGAGTTCCAGCGAAAAGTGCCGATGGAGCCATGAAGAGTGAGAATCCCCATCACGACGTTCGCCACAAAAACCGTGGAGGATGTCGCAAAGACTTTTGTTCTCCTCTTGCCCCAGACAGCCAATCTGCACGAACTCCTGCAGATATCCCTTTAGACCAAGATAAGGGGGCATCCATCCCTATGCCAAACCGACTATAATAGAGTATCCTCGCCAAAAGCCGATAAATGGAGAACATGACCCAAAGTTCCAGGATAAACCAGCTGCAGCTCCACGTCGATTCCTGGTCACCAACTCCCACTGTTGCCGGTCGCCTGCGCTGCCTGAACCTCTGCAGCTGCAGCCTGGGCAGAGACCTCCGGTGCCTGCCGGAAAGTCTCAGGGCGAATGGACGGCTTTCTGGGCGACGTCGAGGCGGGTTCAGTGGGATGTTCAAACTGATGTCCTTTTGAGGAATGGATCAAACACACTATTTTGGGGATAGAATAGAGAGAGAGAGAGACAGAAAGGATTTGTGAGACTAAAAGGTTTTATGGTTGAGATGAATTAGAGAGGATCTGAAGGAGAGTCATAGATCAAAGGATCGGTTTCGATCACCTATAGGATTCTATTAGGCGGCACATCGACTCAGTCAACGATGGAGTTCCCTTCCAGCTTTCGTCAGCATCCAGTTAAAAAAACACACACAACTGCTTAAGAACAGTTCCAATTTAAAAAAAATCATCAGAACATGTTTCCAGCTTTTCTTCGAAACATACTTCCAATCTGTATAGTTCCATCGCTCTTAGGTTCAAGCCCATCGCTAGCAGGTTGGAGGCCATCGCGGGTCGGCCATCGCTCTTAGGTTTATCCATATACATATCTCACATGTCATATATGCATATATGCTCATATATTATATGTATGCTCTGGCTCTATTTGACTCTTGCATCGACTTCCCACTCTCGACGACCCAAACGTCCGTCGTGCCTTGGGCTCGGTCTCGGGCGCGGCAGGCGCTGATCTGAGGTGCGCTGATCGGAATGGCTTGATCGGTGAATGCTTTGGATTGGCTGCTTCTCCATTTTTTTGGGGGGGTAAAGGCAAAGGTCAGTTTCTAGAGTCTAGATCAAGATCTGATCACAAACGATTTCCTGACTTCTTGGGCGATTTTGGGATCAGTGTTCTTGGGCTCTGTGTGTTCTTTTGGTGTTGTGCTTGAGAGACTGGAGACCCACCAATCAAACGAACGAGAGAAGATCCTTCTGGTGAAAGCGGGTCATGGATTCAGCCGCATGAGTACAAACGTTTGTTGATATAGGGTTCCCGCTTCTCAAAGACTTCAGAAGGGTGTGGGCACCTGCTGCGAAAAAGAACACAACCCTGTTAGAATATGCTGCATGTACACGCATGTTGTACTTTGAGTCGCCTACCTGACATACCTGTTGCAACCGAGTGCCATGTTTTTTTTCCCCGTCAGGCAGTGCCTTCCCCACCGTCGAGCAGTGATCTTAACCCAAGCTGGAGAACATGAGGGCGTTTCATCCAGATGAACAGTTTAGTTCCGCATGTGCTCACAACTTCTGCATCGTCGAACGCCTTCCCATTTGTGGCTTCCCATTTTCCCATTTGCTCCTAGTAGCTTCTTGTTACTAGTAGTACGGCCAGGAGCTACTAGTAGCGATGCCCTTTGCTCCTAGTAGCGTCCTTGCTACTAGAATCGATGCCAGGAGCCCCTAGTAGCGTCCAGGAACAACATGTCTTGACGTGTAGTTTCTCCTTCGCACGCGTGTCGAAGGCTTGTACCTTCGCAAACTTGTGATGATGTGGTCTAAGTCCCTCAGTTGCCCCTATTCCTTGTAGCGATGCCCTTGTTACTAGTAGCTTCTAGCTGAAAATCAAGGAAAACCAAGCCCCCAAAAGGTTGAACGGTTATCCACTGAGTAACGGTTCAACTCTTGATTGTCTAGAATCTCCCATTTGGTCAGACATACAGTCTAAATGGGTGGATGGTCTAAACGGGGGGGGTCCATTCATCAAGAGTCTATGAATCGCCCCGTTCGCTTCGCGTCCGATCGCTCCGTTCGAGTGGATTCATTCGGCCCGTTGACCGACGACCGGCGCACTTGGAGGACTCGGTCGCTGCTCCAGCCGGTGTCCTGTGAGTGCTGTCGTCTCAAACAGCTGTGAACGAACGTGATGATCTTAACATGGAAACATGGAAGACATGATCATCTTCCAACGAAACTTGCGAAATGATCATCTTCCCGCAGCTCAGCATTCGGAGGCTCCTCCTTCTGCAGAGTCTGTTTCCCGGGTCAAAAAAAACTCTGCTGTTTTGCCGTTTCACGCGCTTCCCCAAATGGTTGCATGAAAACTGGAAAATCATGATTTCACGATCATTTCGCTCATAGTCACCATGCGAAAATCTACTAGTAGCTCCTGGCATCGCTACGAACGGAGCGATCGGACGCTACGAACGAACGGGGCTCCTGGCCTTACTACTGGGAACAAGAAGCTACTAGGGGCTCCTGGCATCGCTACTAGGAGCAAGGACGCTACTAGGAGACCTTGGCAGCACCTGACCTTTGCAGGATTGACCTCATGGCCTCTGGTGCGGACCATTTTTATGCACCGCATATCATTCACCAATTGATATGCATGCTGCCTCATGCGAAGGATTGCTACCACTTGTCCTGGGTGAGGCAGCTGCTGGCAAATGACTTCTTAAAGACTTAAGATATGAATGCAAACATTGAACTCTGGCAAGCCAAGCTCACGCAAGCTGCTCGGCAAGGTGACACCTTCCAAGCTCTGGTTGAACTCCTTCCCCAAGATCAAAGTATGCAGGCTGCTTGGCAAGGTGACACCTTCCAAGCTCCGGTTGAACTTCTTGCCGAAGATCAAAGTATGCAGGCTGCTTGGCAAGGCGACACCTTCCAAGCTCTGGTTAAAATATTCGCCGAAGGTCAAAGTCTGCAGGCTGCTTGGCAAGGTGACACCTTCCAAGCTCTGGTTGAACCAATCGCCAAAGGTCAAAGTCTGCAGGCTGCTTGGCAAGGTGACACCTTCCAAGCTTTGGTTGAAGAAGTGGCCGAAGGTCAAAGTCTCCAAGCCGCTTGGCAAGGTGACACCTTCCAAGCTCTGGTTAAAGTTCTGGCCGAAGGTCAAAGTCCGCAAGCTGCTTGGCAAGGTGACAGCTTCCAAGCTCTTGATAAAGTGATGGCCGAAGGTCAACGTCTGCAGGCTGTTTGGCAAAGCAACACCTTTCAAGCTCTGGTTGAAAGAGCCGAGAAAGGTCAAAGTATGCAGGCTGCTTGGCAACGTGACCCCTTCCAAGCTCTGGTTAAATTCCCAGCTGAAGGTCAAAGTCTGCAAGGTAGTTGAAAAGGTGACACCTTTCAGGCTCTGGTCGAACCTGCCGCCGAGGGTCAAAGTCTGCAGGCTGCTTGGCAATGTGACCCCTTCCAAGCTCTGGTTAAATTCCCAGCCGAAGGTCAAAGTCTGCAGGCTGCTTGGCAAAGTGACACCATCCAAGCTCTGGTTGAACTCCTTGCCGAAGATCAAAGTATGCAAGCTGCTTGGCAAGGTGACACCTTCCAAGCTCTGGTTGAACTCGTAGCCAAAAGTCAAGTTCTGCAGGCTGCTTGGCAGGGCGACACCTTCCAAGCTTTGGTTAAATGTCCAGCCGAAGGTCAAAGTATGCAGGCTGCTTGGCAACGTGAGACCTTCCAAGTTCTGATTGAAGTTGTCGCCGAAGGTCAAAGTCAGCAGGCTGCTTGGCAAGCTGACGCCTTTCAAGCTCTGGTTAAAGTGGCAGAAGGTCAAAGTTTGCAAGCTGGTTGGCAATTGGACAACTGCCAAGCTCTGGTTAAACTTGTAGCCGAAGGTCAAAGTCTGCAAGCTGCTTGGCAAGGCGACACCTTCCAAGCTCCAGTTGAATGAATTGCCGAAGGTCAAAGTATGCAGGCTGCTTGGCAAGGTGACACCTTCCAAGCTCTGGTCAAAGTATTCGCCGAAGGTCAACGTCTGCAGGCTGCTTGGCAAGGTAACACCTTCCAAGCTCTGGTTGAACTCCTTGCCCAAGGTCAAAGTCTGCAGGCTGCTTGGCAAGGTGACACCTTCCAAGCTCTGGTCAAAGTAATAGCCGAAGGTCAACGTCTGCAAGCTGCTTGGCAAGGCGACACCTTCCAAGCTCTGGTTGAACGAATTGCCAAAGGTCAAACTATGCAGGCTGCTTGGCAACGTGACCCCTTCCAAGCTCTGGTTAAATTCCCAGCCGAAGGTCAAAGTCTGCAGGCTGCTTGGCAAGGTGACACCTTGCAAGCTCTGGTTGAACTCGTGGCCGAAGGCCACTGAGGCGATTGCATCCGTCACTGTCGCATGCGCATGGTCTCTTGTTCCCTCTGCAAGGGCCTTTTGGAACCCAATCGCTGCCTCCAGTGCGCAAACCTGTCGAACGACATATGAGATCTCTCGTCCGCACCCTTCTTGCTGCAAAAGCTTGGATGAGTCCTCCAAAATGTGGCCGCCTGCGAAAAGAACAAGCTTTCCACCAGCTCTCATGCCGGTTCTTTCTGCGATGGTCTTGGAGAGGTCGTCCACCTAGAGCTCGCATGCTCGAACTCTGTGAACATCAAGAGTCAAATCCAGTCTACGCTGAAGGAATGAAACCCCCACTGAGCTCTGAAATCAAATCGCCATACTTTGCTAAAAAAATGCCTTCGGCAAGTTCCTGCCAAAATGCCTCTAGTTCCTGTGTTGGACCTTGGAATCCATCTGCATTGGATAGATTGGATGTTTCTACAGGTGTCCAACCATTGTCCGCGAATGGATCTGAGAGTCAAACACAACAAATATATTTCGTTGCAAGTTGGAAAGCACCTGATAGTGATGGCCTCCAACCTAACAGTGCTGGCCTCCAAACCTCTTAAAAATTATCTCGTTGCAAGTTGGGTCACTTGTTGGTCAATCACAGGCAATTGTAGAATCGATTGTAGAATCTAGTACTGCAAAGCCCAAAAAGGCAGCTTTTCTCAGAAAGAGGACCCATGTTGGGATGCCATGTCAGTCATCTAAGTGTAGTTAGGGGCCAGGGGGGTAGTACCTGGGCATTACTTGCAAGATTCAGGGAACCGTCAGACGTTCGCTCTCGCCCGTCTTCCCTGCGCTGCCGTTGAAGCCACGTTCGTCTGGAGCTGAAAGGTGCTCCCATCGAGGCCACTGATGGTCCAAAGCTGCAAATTCCTCGAGTCCGCCGAGTGCCGGACGGGCTTGGACTCCCGGTCCGGGTGACGAGTGACGGTCCGAAAGAGTGGGATGGGCCGGCCGCGAAACCCAAGAAGACATCGGTGGAACAACGGTCAAAAGCAGCCAAAAGCGGTGTATGTCATTTGTATGTGTCTATACCATATATACCCAGTGTGTCTCTGACAGTTCATTCCAAGCACGAACATGTGCTTTTGGCCTCTTTCGAAGGATTGGTATAACAAACAGCGTTCACCAATGGTTCCGCTCATGCGAATTGTGGGCTTTGCCTGGCGCATGAGTTTGTTCACACATAAACCAGCCACACAAGTGTCCACCTTGTAGATCACCCGAAACACGTCGAGCAGTCCGTGGGTTCAACGACCCACAGGAAGCAACAGCACAGCTCCATCGCTCTTAGGTTGGAGACCATCGCCATCGCTAGTAGTAACAAGGGCATCGCTACTAGTAACAAGGGCATTACTACTAGTAGCTAGAAGCTACTAGTAACCAGATGTAATAAGGGCATCGCTTTTAGGTTGGAGGCCAACGCTGCTTTTAGGTTGTCTTCGATTCAGGAGGGAAGCCGGGACAGGTCTCTTTGCCCCATGACAAACCGGTTGACGGGTCTAGTGTTCTTCGCACCAGTTCTCCACTACTTCCCCACGATTCTGGCCACGGAACATGACGTAGAAGAAAACTTGACACTAGACGTCATGCCCGCATTCATCACATCATCCGGAACATCAACTTTGTACACAAAGAGCAGTGCAAAACGCACACTGCAAAGGTTGGTCGGCCGCCACTCAACACACACACAACCCAAAGGCAAGCCCCACCAGATCAGAAGGGCCTACATGCCAAAATCGAACGATCTTGTGCGTGAGCCTTCCGTCTGCATCCTCCTTGACCCACGTAGTAGCATCCTTGCTCCGTTCGTAGCGATGCCAGGAGCCCCTAGTAGCATCCTTGCTCCTTCTTTTTTCATCCAAATTGCTCACCACACCCCGCACCCTCTGAAACAACCCTCCAAGCTGCTCCTCCGCCCTGCCCTTCGCAGGCAGCATCTTTGGGCAGCGCAGCACTGGTGGTGGCACTAATGTGTTGAAATTCGCACTGAGAACAGGCCAAAGCGTCACCTTTTGTGGTGAATAACATGTGATCATGCCTGTGCCAATATGTCACTATATATACGGGTGATGAATCCAAACATGTGTGGGGCAAACTGACAAAGCAGGTGAAGTCACATTCTTTCATCCCTGCTTTTTTACAGAAAATGCCATCAACACTTCTCCTGAGAATTCGCCCGTTCACCCTTTCGAACCATCAAAAGCCCGGCGAACAACCGGTCGTTCGCCCGGCGAAAACGGAGCTATGATGCCATGTTTCAAGATGTTTCATGGGCTGGAACTGAAAAAAAACACCTGCCTGCACCATCCTGGGACCATCCAGCTTAAGCTTCTCGTGTCATTTCTCTCCCACCAGTGCCGAGATCCTCCGAAACTGCCCGTCCCAAGCTGTTTTCGACCCGCACGTCCTTTCCCCAAACGATTCGCTTGTTTGGGAAAACAAGTCTCCACCGAAGTCACCGAAGCACTGCGAAGTCACCGGAGTTCGCTGCGAAGAGCGGCGTCAGCTCTCCCCACAGCTTCCAAAAGTACTTCTTGAGCCCTCCCACGAAAACAAAAACAAGAAGCTACTAGGAACAAGTGCATCGCTACTAGTAACAAGTGCCTTACTAGTAGTAACAATGTTTTCTAATTTAGTTTAATTATATTAAAACCAAAAAGGAAAACCAAAAAGAAAAGACACACCGACATCTGTGTCGTCCCCCACGGTGCAGCTGACAGCTGCTCCGGCTGTCAAACGGCCCGAAGCGGCCTGCTGGCGCGCCGTAGCACTTGGACCTTCTCCAGCGAGCTCATCGAGGCGTCCTAGACCAACGTGGAGGCCCAAAGGGTTCGTAGACGGTGAACGGTTCTCCAACGCTGCAGATATACTGCATTTCAGCGGTCGCTTCACTAGTCTTAGGATCCGACGACTTGAAGTCAACAACTACGAACGCTGCTTTCCGGTCGATCGATGACGGATGAGTTCCAACAAGTGTGTGTTCATCCGTACAGTCTGTATGCCATGTGTTAAACCATGTGCATCTATATCTGGAATCCACCCACATGCTAATTACTGGGCTCCTGGCCTTACTAGGCGCCTCAGGACGCTACTCTCCACATTTGCATGGCGCAGGACGCTACGCGCCACGCGGGACTTGTCCCATGCGGCGTGGGAAGGCCCAACCGCGAACGGAACGGCGTGGCGCCTCTCCATCGAAGCGTACTCTCCGCGCCAGCTCTGCTTGTGCCTGACGTCCCCGGTCACCTCACGTGCGTCGTCCGAAGAACATCGTCTCCGAGAGCGGCGCGCTGGACCGTCGTCGCCAAGAGGACCGATCCGCAGGACACATGTTGATTTGTTCTCATCTCACTTCCGGAAGCGATACGAAATTGGGCACCTTCACGTCATGATTTGGATGGTGATCCCGAGATCGGACATATTTGGTATATGGATGGGAGCAAGTCCCAAAGCTTTGTCCTATAGCAACACCTCCGGACAGCTCCACGTCCTCATTCTCACAAATCCACCTCCTTTTCCTACCAGGTTCACTGCGTGCGCCCAGCCGCAGAACGAGTGCAGAACCCACTCGCCAGTGACCTACACCAAAAAGACGCCAAAGACAGCGGATCCAAACACGGACGCAACCCTGGTTGACCAAATATGACCAAGAAGCTACTAGGGGCTCCTGGCCGCACTACTAGGAACAAGAAGCTACTAGGGGCTCCTGGCATCGCTACTAGGAGCAAGGACACTACTAGTAGCTCCTGGCCTTACTACTAGGAGCAAGAAGCAACCAAATACCACCCCAACTGAGTGTGACCTACGAGGTCAACGTATACGGTTTTTCTGCTCCCGGTGTTGCACCGCCAGACCCGTCGTTTTCGCCCGTCCCATGCTCCGCCGGACGAGGGGCGCTCAGAGGCACAACACTTGTCCATGGCGGCTCCCATGGCGAAGGAAATCGATGAAGAAAAGTGAGAGGAAAAGGCCGAAAAAGGCTGGCTGGTGAAAGAAGAGTGAAACATTTAGTCATGCTCTGGTCTATAGGTCCTAGCAATTCTTGGGTCAAATGACCCGTTTACTGAGATTTCTAAGATAGGATGTTGAAGCTCCAGGACAGAGTGGAGGCAAAGGTTGATATACCTCTCGTGTCTCGCGACTTCCCTTTATGTCTCAGTTCATTGCACCGGCAGCTCCAGGCTCGCATATATGGCAGCAGCATAGAAAACCCTATTGGGTTGAAGGCCGTCGCTTTTAGGTTGGAGGCCATCGAAGTTAGGTTGGAGGCCATCGCTCTTGGGTTGGAGGCCATCGAAGTTAGGTTGGAGGCCATCGCTCTTGGGTTGGAGGCCATCGAAGTTAGGTTGGAGGCCATCGCTCTTGGGTTG